GTGTGAGAGTGTGTGTGTGTGTGTGTGTGTGTGAGAGTGTGTGTGAGAGTGTGAGTGAGAGTGTGTGTGAGAGTGTGAGTGTGTGTGAGTGTGTGTGTGAGTGAGTGTGAGTCTTTGGTAAGCGGTGCTGGGACGAGCGGATGTGCACAGGGTGGAAGAGGAAGCAGACCCCGACTTAGTGTTACACACACAGACCGATGCCAATGGGTCTGCAGATGCTGATGGAAGAGCCAGCTTCCTTCAGGAGGACAGACGGGCGCTGGCGCCAGGCCGCGGGACGGGGGCCTCGGGAAGGGCGTCCGCAGGCTTCTGGTCGGAAGAGAGTGAGGAGAGCGCAGAATTCACACCCGTTCCAAACCCGCGAGAAAGCCCGTCCTGTGGGAAAGGGGCAGGAGACACAGGCTCGCGTGGCCAAGACCCAGGACAAGTGCCAGCTCCTCCAGTGAGCGTGTCTCCCAACGTGCTGGGTTAGCGAAGCGGGTACGAAGGTTCACTTACAGGAAGTTCGGAAAAGGGGACAACCAAAGTGCCCGCCTGCGGGGATGCATCTTTGGCAAAGGAGTGGCTTCATGAAGTGCTGGGCGGTGGCGGCCTTTGGAGCTAGTGACAGGCAGGCACAGGCGCCCACCCTGGCCGACAGGGCCTCAGGTCCCATTCCAGGCCTCGAGGAGGCGGAGCACCCGAGGCGGGAGTTGCCTGCGACTAGTGCCAGCGGCCGCCAGGTCAGCCCCCACGGCGTCAGCCCCACTGCCATCGTCGGGGCCATGGCGAGATGCCTTGATGTAAACAGAACAGGTGTAATTGCTAATATTTTGTATTGATTTTTAGAAAGAGGAAGAGAGAGGAACATTGATGTGAGAGTGAACATCCATCAGCTGCATATTGCACGGCCCCTACCAGGGTTCAAGCCCGCCACCCGGGCATCGAACCAGCAGCCTTTTGGTACCGAGCCCCACCGGCCTGGGTGTAATCGCTAGTGTGTAAAGGAGGTGCAGGAAGGCCTTTGCTTTCTCTCTGACGTCTCCCCCTGACAGGAACCAGCCGCCTGGCCCGTCCCTAAAGGGCTCCAGAGCCTCTTCCATGTGTCTAGTGACAGGCGTAGGGCAGCACCCTGGCTCTGACTCTGCCGTTGGCCAAGCAAGGGGCCTGCCCTGCAGGTTCTGGTCCCCTCACCTGCACCTGGACCTGGGCTGCAGGAGCTGTTGGTGCTGCAGGGGTGCCAGGTCTGCACCTGCTGCCAGGCCTCTGCCCTCTGCCTGCGCCTCCCCCACGGTTCCCACATGCTGACCTGCTTGTCCTCCCAGGGCCACAGGTTGTGCTCAGCGTGTACGGACCAGACGTGTTCGGGAACGACGTGGTCCGAGGCTACGGGGCAGTGCACGTGCCTTTCTCTCCTGGCAGGTAGGCCCTCACTCTGCTGCCCTCCGCACAGCCCGTCCCTCACTGGGCCGTTCTGGCTTAGGAACTGGCAGCAGCAGCAGGGCTCTTCCTGGGACAGACTTCACCTCTCGGCCAGGAATGTGCCGTTGCCCAGGGTTCTGGGCAGCTCAGCTTGGGTGGTGGGGGCAGAGCCCATATCTGGAAGGAGACCTAAGTGGCGAGGTTCATGCTGCTGCCCGAACACCACGGGGTGGAGGGAGTGCTGGGCATCCTGAGGGGCTGCGCCCACTCCGAGGGTCCTGGGCAGGTAGGGTCTGGAGTGCACGCAGCCCTTCATCTCTCTCGTCCCCAGTGCCCCGCAGCCTGGCGCGCCTGGCAGCAGAGGACACGGAAGTGTCAGACACGTGGCCACGTGGGCTCTGCCCTCAGGAGCCCCCAGAGCCGTGGCCATGGAGAGGCGCCGCCCTGTCAGGCACTGCTGGGAGGGTGTAGACAGTGGGCTGGCGCACAGGGCAGGCCGAGGCCAGCTGGCCTGGAGAAGGCCGAGAGGAGGCGCCGGGTGCGCTGCTCTGAGTTCTGTTAAAACAAGGGCCAGACTCGGAGGCCGGGAGAGAGGACGGGGGACAGGCCCCGGGCTCTGAGGGTGAGACGGGCCTGGGGCAGGGCACCAGGGCGGGGCCGAGGTCCAGGGTTGGTCAGGGCTTCTTGGAGGAAGGGCACTGCGCTGGGCCCTGAAGATGGCAGAGCAGGTGGACATTTGGAGGACAGGGCTCTCAGGGGCACGTGGGCACCGGCACCTCCGGTTTGAGGTTTGTAGCCTCAGCATCCTTCTGGCCCCTTAAAAGAACAAAAGGCTCATGAGGTGCAGCTCTGCAAGGCTGGCTCCGTGCCACACCAGGCACACGCCGCGTCAGTGCGCTGCACCGGCTGCCCGCTGCCCGCTGCTGGCCGCTCGCTGGAGGCTCCGGCAGCGGCGTTGCTTCTCTGTCCCTCAGCACATCTGTCAAAACTTCTGTTTCAGGCACAAAAGGACCATCCCCATGTTTGTCCCAGAATCTACATCTAAGCTGCAAAAGTTCACAAGGTGAGTGCCTGCAGGGAGTGCTGGTGGGGGATGTCAAGGGAGGCTGAGCCTCAGGCCTTGGCCCTCACCACCTCCAAGTGGGAGTGGGGGACCAGCTAGGCCCTGGCTGACTGGGCAGTTGGGTGGGGACAGCAGCCTCCATCAGCTCAGCTATAAGCCACCGCTGCTCCTCAGCAGTCAGCAGGCCCGGACCCTCTGTTCACCAGCAGGACAAGGGGAAGTGCAGGACCAGCTGGGCTCCGGGGCAGCAGCTGGCACACTGCCCCTGTGGGCTGGGCCGGGAGACGGGGGCGGAGGGGCG